TCTCGAAGGATGTGGGAGTAAATGTCGCTTATGCTTAGGTTAACTTGACGTACGCATATTTATACATATTCATTTTTAGTGTCCGAGCTCATATATTACATTGTGAATTCAGCACCCTGTAACAAAGTGTTATAGAGTAAAATTGTAACTTAGTTTTAAAGTGTAGAAGAGTACTTAGTCTGAATAATGTTATTTTCCTGCTTTTAAGATTCATAGTTTTTAATTAGATTTTTTAGTCTTAAAGGAGTCCCCAATTAGTGCCAATAGGCACTAAAACAATTAGACACTTAAATAAAGGTCATGTATGTATGTATGTATGTATGTTCTTAATCTCGAGTTGAGCGTTGTTTTCATTTTAAAAAATAGAAACCCTATTGCGTTAGTTTTACATGGAACATTTATTAAGTGCTAAAGTAAATAAACACTTACCCAGTTACTGACAAGCTCTTTCCTTTCATCGAACAACTGCAAAATGAAAAAAATCACTTGTCCGTAAATGTCCTTTATCTGCACACATACTTAAATAGCAATCAATAGCGAGGGAAATACGACGACTCCCTGAATATAGACCTTTTCGTTTAAGTCTTGTTTCAATGGCGTCCAAGAACTTTTCACGCTGGACGGAGAGTTTTCAGGTGTTCTTTTGACTCTGGAGGCTGTTGCAACATTTTCTTTTGCCTTGAAGCTCTTAGTTTTAGCATAAGCACTAGAAGAAAAGTCTACAGCTCTAACAGACATCTGTAAAATATTTTTTTAGAATAAAAATAGACTAAGATGGACAAAACATCACAGTACACAGATGTATAGAAAGCCGTTGTAAAGTCATGTTGATTATTAAGAAATCCGCTGACCATTGTCTTGACTTGAGTCACACGGAAACTCCTTAGTGTAAACTGCACTAGACCTAGTGTCCACTCACTTTAAATATATCGAGACAAACATGGCGGATCCCAAAGCAAATAAACATCAGAAAACAAGTCATGTTCCCCGCCCTCCAGCAGTATTGTTTTATCATAAATCCATGAGTCAATTGGCAGAAAGTATCTGTGAACGGTGCAGCCGTGCACTGGATCAGTCATCAAGCACGAAACAAGTGAGACTTACTCTTTTTCAAATCGAAGCTTGAGAAGTGACCATGGATTTGATTGTGAATTTGTGATCAAACCATGGTGATAAATATATGCAGCGGTAAATTTGCATGAAAACTATCTTACAAGATTATTTATGTTGTTTAGAAAGAACTTTTATACTATCAACAAAGTGTGGAGTTGAGATCTGTATCATGGGAACAATTTCCGGATGGATGGCCAAACTTATTTATTGCAAATGCTAAACAAGATTGTGCAGGAAGAGATGGTATGTGAACGTTGTCAGCATTAGGGTTTAAACGTAAAAGGTCTTGTCCTGTGTTTCAGCTTTTTAATGTCTACCTTTGCTAACTTTTTTCCCCTTCAGTCATTTGAATGAGCACTGTACATGTTTCACTTTGTTTCGTTCATTAAAAAAGAAAGAAAAAGGATATATATATATATATATATATATATATATATAAATGTATATAATATATATGGATAAACCAAAACACAGACTTTCTATTTATATATATGTATATATATTTCTGCATTGCAGTCATCTTTCTGGCAAGCTTCCACTCACCGGAAGTTGTGTTTGAGCAGCTTTCTGTTATTTATAAGATTCCCAGGTGAGATACATCAGGTGAACATTAAAACCACCAGTTATTTCAAGCCCAGGTTATTTTTTATACAAAAATTTCCACAGCTCAAGGGTCTGCTCACTATCCTTTTTTACAACCATTGCATGCTCTCAGGAAGAATGGGAAATGGTAAATACTCCAGATGAAACTGTGGAGAGTTTGTTAAAAATCTTATAACTTTTAAAGACATGAAGAGACTGCATCTATTAGCATTAGGATCTGATTTCTCCTCACAGCATCATTGCTAATGTAAGTGCCAAGGTCATGAGAGTGGAGGATATGATTGTATACTTATTTAGAGAAGCTATAAACTGTTAAACAAATTAACCTTTCTAGTAACAAAAGAAATGTATAGGAAACAGCACTGAAAATGTGTAAAATGATGTTAGGCTTTAAAAGTTGAAGATTTTAAAACTCCATGATTATATCTTAGAAAATAAGAGAAATTTGGAAGCCTTATGCATTACTTTTGGGAGCAAAGAGGTTTCCTGAAGGATAGGTAAACAATAATTTCTCCCTTTTTTAATCATCTGTTTACATTCTCACAGGCTATTGGCTCGATCATTTACTGCTATTGTACCATACTTTCCAACTGGAACAATGGAAAGGGAGGAAACAGAGGGTCAAGTTGCTACTGCAAAGGTATTACCAGGATGAGTGATTAACTTTGAACTTATTGTCTTTGGTATGTAAGCAGTACCAAACTAAAAAAACACAAGCAAATGGTATACAGTCTGATCTGTTCAAAAGGAACCCACTTCCTAATTTTTGGAGTGTTTAACTTGCATGTGCTTTACTGTTGTGTATTACTGGACAAGATGTACATTAGAAACGTAATACAACAGGTGGACTTGTTTCTCTCCCATAGACTCTGGCCATTTTGTTGTCCACTGTTCCATTGACTGCCAGAGGACCATCTCAGATAATGGTATTTGATATTCATGCCCTGCAGGAAAGATTCTATTTCACTGACAATGTAATTCCAAGGTAATACTCTTAGGAGAGGAATTTCCCATGTTATTGGAAGATCATATTTTAAATATGGAGTTGATTAATGCCATAATGTAATTTCAGATGTTCTTGATTTTAATTCATGCAGATTGGAGACAGCCATTCCTTTGCTTCTACGAGAGATAATGATGCTAAGCAAAGACAATGCTATTAGCATTGCTTTTCCTGATGATGGTGCATTCAAGAGATTTCATACCATGTTTAAATCCTTCCCAACTATCACTTGCACAAAAATCCGTGACAAGGACCACAGAATTGTGAAAGTCAAAGATGGTAGCTTTGATAACATTGTGATTTCATTTTATGGCTCTTTGAATGATAAATTGCTTATCAACAATTTAAGTACAAGTAAATAGGTCAGAGTTGAACTGAATTGAGAACATCCATTGTTAGTCATTGATGACTCACTTGACCATGTAGGCCTTCAGTTAACTTTGTATCTGTTTATCTGGATTTCAAGGTGACCCAGCTGGACATCATGTGATCATCGTTGATGACCTTGTGATGACAGGAGGGACCTTAGTGGAGTGTGCTAAAGTAAGAGTGTAGATATGGTACCTGCCAGTTTATAATATACATGTGAATACTTGAAACAATGAAAACAAAAAAGAAGTTGCAAACCCTGAGGTATTTTCCTTTTATCTTAACATATTTCCTGTCTCTAACTGGTGCTCATTGATACCTTGACATAACTTCATCCTCACTTAAAACCTCATTACTGGTACACAGGGCTAATAATATAGGTAAAGATAGGAATAGAATGGTATCAGGCTTAGAATATAGCCAATCATAACCTACACACTTACAAACCCTTTGTTTTGCCAGGCTTTGTTGTCAGCTGGAGCGGTGAAGATCAGTGCATATGTAACACATGCTGTGTTTCCTAAAGATTCGTGGAAGCTGTTCACAGACTTTGAAGTGCCCTTCAGCAAGTTCTACATAACAGATTCAATCCCACATGCCACCAGTATTGCTCAGCACTCTCCTTTTAAACTACTTTCCTTGTGTGACTCCATATCTGAGACTCTACTGGGCTTTGATCTGCTACAGAGCTGATTTCAAATGACTGTCTTTAGTGTTGTTAAGAAGAAGCTTTGTTGCGTCAATCTTATGGAGCATGGTTTATACTATGGTGGGAAATAAAAAATAGATTTGTATTACATGGGAAGTAAAGTTACAACAGTTATTTTGTTAGTTGTAGTTAGGTATATTTTATTATTATCTGGTAGCAGGTTGCTCTTGTTACACATTCATATAATGGCCACTTCAGATGTCAAAATTAGTTGTATTCAAATGTTATTTTAGTAAAGAAGTTCACAAATCTAAACACTCATGCTTTAGTGTTTTGTACAATAGACAGTTGTTGATGTATTAGCAAGATTATGAGTACACCCGCATTGCATGCCTACATGTACGTAATCAACCATGACACTTTGCTTCCTTAGTTCTACCATGTGCTCGGTGTAAGATGGCGACGGTTGTTTATTAAATTATTTTTCAGTACTCTCTCATCACCTCCTGATCTCCCGTTTTTTGAAGCAAATCAACAACAGTCACCGTACAAAGATGGTATGCAAGGAGTCATGCTATAGCCAGATATCTAATTAGTTCCTGGTGTGCATAGAATTATGGCAAAAAAAAAAGAAATAAACTTAGAATTATATAAAACATCAGTAATCACTTTTTTATTGTTGCAGTGTCTGAAGTCTTCATTAGGGCCCTCACTACTAAAGACAAAAATGAAAAAAGACAATCTTATTGAATCATCATCTTTCTTTGATTTGCAAAGAACAAGACATGGTGCATAACAGAGATTTCTCTCAATCTTGTAATCCCAAAGAATTATACCAGCCAATCTGAACTGACCAAAACAATGATATTGTTGAGTTTTATAGGATTTCAAAATTTTGCACATAAGACCAAAGATGAACGCATAAGCTTCAGCCAAAAGGCAAAGGAATGGGGGAATGTCAGAAGGCCAGGTTTTTCTTTTCTTCGTTTTTTTTCTTTCTTTTTTTTCAGAAAGTGAGACTAACCCTGAATCCCGAAAAACCAATCGGTAACCCTCAACAGAGGAAATCAAAGAAACTTTTTGTTGCATCAGAAATCTAAATCTAGTGCTAATACAGAGGCTAACTAGGAGTCAGTACAAGAGCGAAGAAAAAATTAAGTGCGTGTGGGTATTTTTTTTTTCCTCGCTAGCACCTTGCAGAAGATTATTTCAAAACTTGTGCCGGTGGGTTGTGCACTAGTGTGCCTGTGCACTTCCCTATTAAAAGAGTAGTGGCCCCAGTTCTCTCTCACTTGCTTCGTAATAATGAGACTGGAAGTTAGATCATTTTGTTCATCATGGCGGCTGTCGCGATACGCACTTGCGAAAGTCCTGGCTGTCAACAACCAGCTAAATTACAGTGTCCTACATGTATTAAGCTTGGAATTCAAGGCAGTTTCTTCTGTGCTCAGGTAATGGTTAAGAATTGCCCATTTTAGGCGGGTTTGTGTGGCAGCCACATTATGTATAATGGAAAGGGCTTAAATACGATTTGTACTGATTCGTATCTATGCATTGTGAGTTGACTCGAAATTGTTTGAGAATAATCTTTAGTCTCTTTGGAGATGGTCGACGTTAATCGTCGTTAATCATCCGCCACTGCTACCACTCCACAAGTCTTTTTTCAGTTTTTCTGTCAATACAAAGTGCTTTTAGTAATGAAACTCTATGACAAGTAATTTTCTGCACTTGTTCTAATAATTAAGCTCAACTTAAAAAATATGTTCTGCAAAATCTTCACCATTGCTGCTCGTGGTATGGAATCGTTGATCTACTTTTCATAATACTTTGTGTCACTCTAGGAAAGAATTAATGTGATCGGATTCATTATTTTGAGGATATTTGGATTTAAAGGAAAATACCTCTTATTATCATCAGAACCTGATTGCGATTGTCTGCCTTTCTAAAGGCAGGCGAATTCTTTAATATGAAACAATCACTCTTCTTATAGTTGTACTGGTCTCTGTGATCATTGAAGGAGATACTGGTTATAAAGTGATACCTTTCAGGGATGAGTATAAATCAAACACCTGTGAATATGATTGTTGTATTTACTTTTGGAACTTCATTTTGTTGCAGGATTGCTTCAAGCAGAACTGGAGTGAACACAGAAAAGTACACAAGTCAGCTAAAGCTGCAGGTACAGGTGTACCACATTATACTCAAACAAAGCCTGGGTTCCACATCAATTCATAAACAGGACCCATATTGACAACAGTTCAATAACTGATCAGAAGTGGTTATCAAGTTCAATTATCTTCATTTGTTATAGATATTGATCTTTTAAACATTTTTCATATATTAATATTTTTCTTAATACAACTCATGTTGAAAATCTAAAGGGTTTATCATTTGCACAATATTTCACATGTTTAATTTTATTGTCAGCAAGTCTGCCTGTCACCTTTCACATAACTTTCATTGACTTGATTGTTCTATGAAACTGTTTGGTAGATGACAATAATAAACCAGTGACCTATAATCCATGGCCTGGATATAGATTCACAGGAAAACTGAAGCCCTGGCCTCAGGTATAGTATTGTGTATGAGTTTAATCTTTAAACAAACTAGATATTTGAATTATATAAAGGAGGAAATACTTCAGACTCTAATTAGTCATTTTGTTTGGGCTCATGTGATTAAAAAATTACTTGTTTTGCTTTACTAACAAGACCAAGTTTTGTTATGTCACTTGCAATATTTCCTCCTCTGGAAGAAGCATTAGTGAAGACACCCAAGAAAAAGTTTAGCAGGAGCTGTTTACTGCCTCCCAAAAAAATGGAAAAAAAGGAAAAAAATAGTGATAACAACTTGAAAATTAAATAGTAAATTGGAGCAACTATTCAAAAAAGGTAGTGCCTCTCAGCAAGTTTTTGATAAACCTTTTCTTATGTCTGTTCAATGTTAAGTATATGTCATTTTGTCTTTGTGGTGCCTCAGTGTTCACTTCTTCCACTTTTTTGTTCTTACCTAATTTTAAAGCCATCTGTTTTAATTTATAACTGTACAAATACAAGGAAAAGGTGAACTATTTATAGTAAAAGCCTTTAGTAATATATTACATTTGTGTAATTTATATTATGAATTAACATTTATTTTCAGTCTCCAAGGCGAGAGGTCCCTGATCACATCCAGAAACCTGACTATGCAGAGAATGGTTTGTAATCAAATTGATTTTTTATCAAAGATTTAAAATACTGAACTTCTACTAAATGAGGTGCAGTCACTGGATT